GAGGGACCCCGGGCTCCCCTTGCCTCTCGCGGCCCCGCGGGCCGATCGCCTTCTCTTCCCGAAGCCTCCGCCGGTAGGATTGCCCGCAGCCCCCACCGACAGGCTTCGCCGCAGTGATGGGGGGCCCACAGGGCTCAGCCTGTCCGCCCCGCCGGCGCTTCAGCCCCGCAACGGTCGGGATCCCAGGAGCCTGGTCTGGGAAGATCGGGCCGCTCGTGCTCAGGGCCGGGTGCTCCAGACCCGCCCTCAGTATTCCTGCCTCAAGCCTCGGAGCATTTCTCTGTGATCTGCCTCCCCCAGCTGACAGGAGCATCCTGGGGGCTAGGCTCGGTCTCCCCTCCTCAAACTGAGGGCCAAGGGAAATGGCTTTGTCTCTCCCATCAGACTGGAAGCCCCTTGAGGGTGGTGATCGACCCAGGCACTGGGACATCTGAGGTGCAGATAACTGGAAACAATTAAAGGAGAACTTATATGACACAGGCAAATGAAAAATATTTTAATTCATGTCTACTCTAGGAGGAGGGAACTGGGTAGATTTAGAGGAGGCAGAAATCTTGGAAGATTTCCTGAGGGTAAGAGCCTGGGAATTGCTGAGTGGGGCCAGGGGTTGGGGAGGATGCTGTCCCACCTGTCTCCTTTCCCCATCACCAGGCATGAGGCAAGGCCCTCTCTACATTCATCTCCTCACCCTGGCCCAATCTCTTGAGAGTTGAGGGCAAGGAGCCCAGGAACCCAGGAAGATGGGGTGTTGGGCCTTATGTGAAATCTTGTACAGACTTGATGGAAAAGAGCAGGGCCAGGATCCCAGGGTGACGAGATCATAACCAATGCCAAGATCACAGGTCATAATTCCAAACTTACACGTTATTAATCAACAAAGGGTCACTATTCACTTGACAAATATTCAGTGAGAGTCAGCTCTGAGCCAGGCAGGCACTAAAGAGGGTTTTGTTTTATTTCCTGAAGAGAGTTCTTGCACTGATAGAATGTGAAGCTCCCACACTGGAGTGTAACCTGTGTGTCCCCTGTTTACCCAGTGCTGGCAGGAAATCCAGCCTTTCCCAGGGTTTTCCCTCCAATAATCACCCCAAGAATCTCTGGGTGCTTTCATGTGACTCCAGATGTCCCCTGGGCAGCATAGGACAGTTTCCTGGATCAATGGCCCTACTTTAGTCTTCCTTCCCCTAGAGTGGCAGTGGGGAATTATGCTCCAACACCCCCCCCACACACATGGCATCAATGACACTCCCAGCTTCCCTGAGCCTGTGTCCTCAAAGCTGCTGTTCAAGGAAAACCCTCACCTTCCCCTCCATCGTCCATCTCTCCCCAGCCTGGAAGGAGATTCTCCCACCTCTTTTTTGGATTCTTGAAGGAGGGAGAGGGCAGAACTTCTAGAATGAATCTGTCCACCATCCCCCTAACACACAGACTGAGGAAGGGGTAGGCTGGGTGGCAGCGGGGGTGTATCCAGCCATAACCTCAGACTTTCTCCAGCTGCTCTTCCTTCCCAGGTCTCAGCCCAGATACTGAGGCCAGAGCATGTGCCAAACTAATCTGTGTCTCAGTAAATGCCCTCAGAGACCCATTTGTTTATTCTGGAAGCAGACTCCCCTGAGCTTCAGTGCTCTTTCCTCTCTTGCCCTCATTTCCCCAATTCTGCCCTGCCCCGGACTCTAAATCCCAACTGAGCTGGCTTAACATTATTTCCCAGGCGGACTCTCTGGCCCTGGAAATCAAGTGCTATGGTCAGACTCTGAGCCTCTCTGAGCCTTACGAAGCCTACAGAACATGGAGGCCCTCAGGAGGTGTCCTCATCCTGGTATATACACTGTGGAACTCTACATACCATGGCTCCTGCTTATCCAAAGTGCCTTGTCACTCACACAATTGTTTTGAGCAAGCAGCTAGACCAGGAAACGACAAGTCGATGCACTGAGCATCAGTCTTTTAAGTCTTTATAAAATAGCATAAATATCTAACCTCTGGGAAGGAAACATAGGCACTAGAGAAACAGCGGTTTATGGACAAAAATGGAATTTGCATACAACTTCCCAGAGAAGCAGCCTTGGTCTGCGTGAGTCCATAGGACACTGAGCTCAGAGGTAGCCTGAAGCAGCCCAAAGACCCAGAGTCCTCCTCTTGAGGACACAGTGGGGTGGAGGGGTTGTTCATTGAGCCAGGCTCCGAGTTGTTGCCAGGGAGAAGGGAGGAAATGCAATCGTTCATTAGCCAAGTCCCTGACTTCTGGGACCTCAAAATCTAAAGACATAAATAATAGGGCAGAAAAGGGGATGAGGTCACACACTAAAAAAATAAATAAATAAATAACCCGTGAACTTTTTACAATCTGCCCAATAAGCTTTAGTTCCATTAACCTATTTGAGTTTCCCAGGAATAGGCAAGCCTTGAACAGCAGCTAGGAGGATCACTTTTGTCATCATACAGACAAAAACTGAGGCTCGGAGAGGAAGTGATTCGTTCTAGTTCTCACTGGGGCAAGTCTAGGGTTACTGGGCATAATAAGAAAGCTGCCTGAGGGCTGGGGACCGTTTGAGTTCCGGTCTCATTCACAGCGCTTACTAGAGTGACTGGAAATTACAACAATAAAAACAATCATTATAGTAGTAAAATTTTAAAACAAGTGCTCATTCAGTAAGAGCTTGCTGTATTATGACCCGAGAGGGGGAAGTGACGTGCGAGGAGGCGGAGAAGGTATGTGTCGGCCTTTCCCACGTCTTCCAGGACCAGAGCGCTGCTTCCTCTCCCCTGGTGCTGGTCTCCTCTAGCCCCTCCCAGAGCCTCCGTTAGGGGTGGGAAAAGATGTGCCATAGGTCACTGAGGACACCATCCGATCTCTCACTGGCCGAGGCCAAAAAAAAGATACTTTTCCCATTCGCTAGCGGGCAAACCCCCAAAAGCCCATTGGCTGCGTTGTCCGCGGGCCTCCGTCGGCTCTGGGGGCGGGCCGAGGCGGCCGGAGGAGGGAGCGCGCTGGGGGCTCGCGGTTGCCCCGGTTACACCCAGGCACGTGTGCAGTCCCGGGAGCGGCTCCGGGAAGCTGCCCAGCGCGCGCAGCCGGAGGAAGCGCAGCCCGGTCCGCTCGGGTCGGGCCCGGCTGGGCCATGGAGCCGTTACCTGAGCCCGTGTCCCGGCCCCAGCCCGTGCCCCGCTGTCTCCTGCTTTTTCCCCTGTTATTGCTCCTGCTGCTGCTACTGCCGGCCCCGGAGCTGGGCCCGAGGCAGGCCCGAGCAGATGAGACCGACTGGGTTCGGCTGCCCAGCAAATGCGAAGGTGAGGGGGCGGGGCCCATGAGGAGTATGCTGCTGGGGGGGCGGGGCTTGCGGAGAATAGGGGTGCAAGGTCCTGGGCTCTGGAAAGAGTCTCCGCTCCTCGAACCTTCTGTGTGCCTGGCGCTGTTCTGGACGCTGGGGATGGGGCGGGCGAGAGATCAGGTCTCGTTGCACCTGGAGCTCAGAAATCGGTGGAAACAAGCAATTATAATCGGGGTAGCAGATGCCGTGATAGAGGAGGTACAGGGCTTTGGGGGCTGGGTAAGGAGCATTTAATCTAGCCTAGGGCTGGGGAGAAGGCTTCGTCCAGGAAGCGCAAAGAGTGATTAGGAGTTAGACGGGTGAAGAAAAGTGAAAAGAGAGGGCCCCACTCAGGAAGCCACAGATGCAGAGGCCTACAAGCAAAGGATAAGTTTGAGGAACTGAAAAGAGCCATGTGACTGGTCTTGGGGGAAGAAGAGCTTGAGACTCTCCCCTTGTTCCCTCACCCAACCTATTTTGTGTAATTAGAGTCTCCCCCGCTGGCTGCGAGCCTCTTGAGGGCAGGAACCTTGGCTCGGATATTTATTCACACTGTGCTTGGTAGGCACCCAATGAATATACTTGGAATAAGTATGAATAAACGGGGGCGCGGGGCGCTGTGGGTGTGGGTGGAGGAAGGAGGAGGGTCCGAGACCCATCATTTTGGGGGAAGAATGGAACCTGGGGAAGCTTGGTGAGGGAGGAAGGTTTTAGGAATGTGGGACAACAGTGAATCCCAAAGACATGGGTGGAGATGTGGAATTTCAGAGAGAGAGAAGAGAGCACCAGCACACAAAGCGGCCATCCAGGACTGCCGACGGCCTCCCTTTTTTTCCTCCCCTTCATTTCTTGGTTTCCTCCTCAGACCTTTACAGCCTATTCTTCCTTCTCACCTCCCTAACCCCAGCCTCCCACCCCTGAAAGTTGGCTATAAATCTATTGCATCCAAATTCGAAGCCTACGGCTGGCCAGATGTTCCCTAAACTGTGGGAAGTGGGGGTGGCCCAGGATGCATAATCCTTTCATCTGAGAGATTAGAGGTGAGATACTTCCGAGAGGAGCTGGCTTCACTGGCAGGCCTTCCGATGTGGGTTCTAGCCTGTACTTTACCCCACTCCCTTGAATAGACAGTCAGAGGGTTTGGATGCCTTCCTGTCACTCTTCCTCTAGTCATAACCAATAGCCTTTGAGGGTTTCACTTCCCCTTCTCATTTTCTATCTTATTCTGATACCACAGAGCCCTTACTGTTTCTCTTATTATTCTCATAGCCTAAGAAACTCACATTTCTTTTCCTTAAGAGACTCAAAGAAGCATAGAGCTGGCAAAGATCTTGAGATCATTCTAGTCTGACCTGATGTTGTAGGTAACTGATAAAGAATAAAAAGGACTTTCAGTCGCAGGATGGCTTGGCAAACTCCAACCCTTAAGTTCCTCTTAGTAGTGTATTTACGTTTATTTACCACTGTTATACCTTTATTATTAATGCTGACTGGCCCACAAAGTCTGCCTCCTGGCTCAGTAGTCTGAGTGGAACAGGCTTTGGCCCCGAGGAAGGAGAACCTGCCCAGAAAAAAGCAGGTAGATGTCCATGAGGATCTGGGGTCTATGCTACGGATCTCCTCCAAGTCTGGTTCTGGGTGGAATCCCCAGAGGGGGCTTGACAAGGTTAAGTTTGGAAGAGTTGGGAAGTGAGGTTATGGTAGCCCTGTAGGGCCTAGAACACTGTGGGAGAGGAGGGCACGGGAGCCAGAGAAATGATGAGCTTGCACAGAGGGCAGGATAGAGGAGGGGAGGGAGCCCAGATGGTCCTGGATGGAGAGCCAGGGAGGTGAGACACCCTCAGTTCACTGCAGACTCTGAGATCACTGGCTTATATCTTGGAATTTTCATGTGTTCCAAGTTCTCCAAGCCACGTATTAATGGGTATGTTTTAAAGTTCCACCAAGTAAGCCTGCAGGGGATTGATTTGTTTTGGTGGTAAGTTGGTTTTCTACCTAACTCTGCTGTTGGTGTTATAAAAACGCTGATGGCATTTAGGCTGCAGACCATATTTCACTGGGAGACATCAGAAGCTGCTCGACCACAAACACATTTTCTCTGAGCAATGTTTATCAAGTACCCAACACACAAAGTCCCAGACTAGAGGAATAAAGAAAAAATCCAGTACATAATCCTAATACTGAGCACCCTTGTGGTCTAATTGGAGAGACACATGAGATGACCATGGCCCTTAGTGAGAGCATAGATCCTGCAGAGTCCCAGAATGAAATCAAGAGCAGGTGGGATTCATCCAGAAGCACTTACTGGGGGAGGAGGCTTTGAGGGTGAGGTTGGGAGAATGGGCAGACAAGCCCCAAAGCCCCTAGAGGGCATCAAGCATTTTTCTAAGGCCTCGGGCACTTCACACTTCCAGTGCTAATGCTCCTTATGCAATGGTAATTATTTGTTTAACTACTTTCCGCTCCTTTGGACTGAGTATCTGGAAGGGAGGGACCTTGTTTTCATCTCTGTATCCCCAGGCAGTGCCTGACACATAGGAGTTGTTTAATAACTGTTCGAGGAAGAGTAAGTGGAAATGAGAAAATGAATGTACAAAAAACAGAAGAAACAGGCCTCTGGGGGAGGAGGGAGCAAATTAACTTGGTAGGAATAGAGAGCTGGTGTTGGAACAACATGTGAAAAAAAGTAATAAAATAGCCGTAAAAGACATTTGGGGGACAACTGGAGAGAAGTTTGAGTGTGGACTGAGCATTAGATGATACTGGAATTATTGCTAATTTTCCGAGGATTATAATTGTTTTATGGCTAGGGAGGAGAAGGTCCTTGTTCTCAGGAGACGGGTGATGACTTATTTAGGAGTGAAGATCATGATGTCCGCAACTTACTTTCAAAATGGTTTAGCAAAAACAACGTGTGTATTGTTGAGATCTATTATTATCACATTGTTTCATATTATACATTGGTGGGAGAGTGTGGTAAATCATTAATGAGTGGAAGGTATATAGTTATTCATTGTACTCCTTCAGCTTCTCTATATGTTTGAAATTTTGAAAGTACAATAAATGATTGAAATGAAGTCAATAGGACAAGGGCCAAGACTGGACTTGGGGCAGTGGATTTTGGAGCCAAGTTTCCTTCACTCAGTGAACTCCATTTGGTGGTCTGGTGCTAACTCCTTCTCTGCTCCAAGCATTGACTCGACCCAGTCTAGGAGAGGCATCCACTTGGGTCTGTTTTGCTGGGAGCCAGCTCCCGTCAAAGACCCGGATGCACTCAGTAGGCTGTGCTGTGTATCCCTCCCATAGTGTGTAAATATGTTGCTGTGGAGCTGAAGTCAGCCTTTGAGGAAACTGGCAAGACCAAGGAGGTGATTGACACGGGCTACGGCATCCTGGACCGCAAGGCCTCCGGAGTCAAATACACCAAGTCGTAAGCGAACAGGGGACCCACTAGCCTGGCCTGCTTTGTTCCTTGGGGTTTCAGTGGCTTGAAGTTTCCTTCTCCCTTCCCATGGGAAGGCAGCTCTAACAGACCTGAGTTTGCCCACTGGTTCTCCCCACAACTGACTGTGTGGGCTTCATAAATCCCTGCACTCTTCTGGGCTTCAGATTCCTCATCTGTAAAAGCAAGACTGTTGGACCTTCTCAGTGATCCCTAGACTCTTGGATTTCATGGACCAATGTTTAAAAATATAGGATTGCCTAAAACTTTTAATTTTGCCAGATATAAATATTAAAAACAAACCAAAAAACACTTCCATCAACTATGATCATCCTTTCGAAATGAAATGATAGCTTAACATCAAATTTTAACACATTTTGCTTTATTAAAAAAAAACTACTGAATCATTTAGCTTTATTAAAAAAAATTCCTTCCCATAGAGCTGTTAAAATTGTATCTCTCTGGTCTGTGTTCCAGCATTTCAGAGCCCCCAGACCAGATGACCTATCTTCCTTCCAGCCCTGACTTCCCGTTGGTGAGATGCGCAGGCGCTGGGGTAGTAGGGCTGGAGGGATGGACCACTAACCCACTGGGGCGAGGAGGGGGACTCAGGCCCTCTTGTGCTGCTGTCTTGGCAGGGACTTACGGTTAATCGAAGTCACTGAGACCATCTGCAAGCGGCTCCTGGACTACAGCCTGCACAAGGAGAGGACTGGCAGCAACCGGTTTGCCAAGGTTGGGTTTGTGCCTGCCCTTCTTCCCCCCTGGGGCCAGGCTGCTGGTCTGGGTGCCGCTGGAGGATCGTGCCCTCGGAGCTGCCCTCCTTGGCCTCTCCTCGATCTTCATCCATTGCTGTTTGCACCCCTGCCCTCCTGAGTGGCTGACTTTCCAGTGTCCATGGGCACATTCCTGATGGCCTGGGCCTGCCCATCGGGTCCTGCCTCACCCTCAGGCAGAGATGCTCCCAGGTGGGAGTCCCCGTGAAGACCTAAGCACTTGCACAGGGAGAACTCAGGATGTGCGGAGCTGTAGGGGTTTAGAGAGATGTCAGGAGACTCTTGGAGGTGGGTAGTGACTACCTGGTCACTCCTTTGGGCCCACAGGGCCCCTCCCTGGACCTCCATCATGGTGCCTTTATGACATTTAATGCACTTACTGTGTTCACGAATGCTTCTCTCCCTGGAAAAGGAGCTTTCTTGCAACAAGACTCATATTTCTTTGTCTCCGCATCTTCCATGCCTGGTAAGAGAGCCGTCTCCCACGTTTCTCTGCCTAAGTACCCTTCTAGCAAAGGAGCTCCATCAGAAACCTCTGGGACACCCAGAGGAATAGTCTCAAGCCACAAGAGTCTTGGGTTTTCTTAATTTTATACTAATGTTGTACTCAGTAATAAATCTGTTTACTTTCATGTAAAAATGTTCAAAGTTATTTTCCATAGCAAAAAATAAAATAAAATAAAATAAAACCGAACCAACCTAAACATTCACCAGTAGGGGAGTGGTTAAATAAATTAATATGGCCATTCAGTGGACTATTATGCAACTGTGAAGCCAAGAACAAGGTAGCTATTTGTGAATGGAACTAAAACCATCTCCAAAATATATTATTAAGCCATTTAAAAGTCAAGGTGCAGAATAATCTGTATGATTTATACTGCTGCTTTGCAAAAAGCGGGGGTGGAGGCGAGGAGGATATATTTGTGTGTGCGTGCACGCATTATCTCCAGAAAGACGAGGAAATAGACTGTATGTTGTCTCTGGGGAGGAGACCTAGGCTAGCTGGCAGAAGTATTTCTACAGAACCAGAGTCCTGCCTGCCTCGCCTGTGCCATCTTCCCACCAAGGAAAGACACAAGCCGGGGGAAGAACCTGAAGCAGGGGTGGGCATGGGTGTGGGGGAGTGAGTGTGCCCACCACAGGGAGGGGAGAGAGCAGGACACACTAATTTCCTGGAAAAGGAGTTTGGTTCAAAGGGCCTGAGGGTGACATCAGAGCTTTTTGAAAGGACAGAGTACGTGTGTAGAGGGATTATGGGACTCTGGCCTAAAAGAGGGGAGAGGAGATCAAGTGTGAGAAGCCATCGGGGGTCTTGATCTTGACTTCGAGCTAGGTCCTTGGGCCTCCAGCAGCACCGGGAGAGGAAAGGTGCCTCTCTCCAGCCTCTCATGTCCGGTCCCCTCTTCCAGGGCATGTCAGAGACCTTTGAGACGCTACACAACCTGGTGCACAAAGGGGTCAAGGTGGTGATGGACATCCCTTACGAGCTGTGGAACGAGACCTCGGCCGAGGTGGCCGACCTCAAGAAGCAGGTATGGGCCCCTCTGCCCTTGGAGGCAGTTGTGCCCCACAGGACTGGGTAGGGGGATGGGTCTGAGGCCGCAGAAGGCTATCAGGAGCCAGGGGACCATGTCAAGTCATTTCACCTCCTCTGGCTTCAGCCTCCTCAGGGGAATCACAGCCACCCCCCTGTCCGGCAGTGGGTTGTGAGGCTCGGCCGGGCTCCCCCAGGAGAAGTCAGTGCCAGGGCTTTGCCAGTGTGAGGTGTTGTGATTATTTAACAGTGCGATGTACTGGTGGAGGAGTTCGAGGAGGTGATCGAGGACTGGTACAGGAACCACCAGGAGGAGGACCTGACACAGTTTCTCTGTGCCAACCACGTGCTGAAGGGCAAGGACACCAGTGAGTCTGAGGGCTGTCAGCCTCAGTTGTATGATCGTTTTGTCTGCTCCCCCTCGGGGGAGGCGGGTAGGGAGAGAATGGAAAAGAAATAAGAAATGGGCATCGTAGCATCTCTGTCCTCAGGGAGCTTGATGGGACAGGTGGGAAAGGCCCAGACATCCCCAGTGGCTCCGCCGTCAGTGCTCCTTACCCAGCAGACCAGCTTGTTGAGGGTGTCTGTCCTCTCACCCAGGCTGCCTGGCAGAGCAGTGGTCTGGCAAGAAGGGGGACACAGCTGCCTTGGGCGGGAAGAAATCCAAGAAGAAGAGCAGCAGGGCCAAGACCTCTGGTGGCGACAGCAGCAAACAGAGGAAGGAGCTGGGTGGCCTCGAGGGAGACCCCAGCCCTGAGGAGGACGAGGGCATCCAGAAGGCATCCCCCCTCACACACAGCCCCCCTGATGAGCTCTGAGCTGAACCCAGCGGCTCCTGCTGACCAAGACCGCTGACCTGGAAGCAGAAGGGTCTGGGCTATGGCTCTGGCCTCAGGCCTCCCTGCCTCGGCTGTGCCTCTTCTGCCGCGGACAGACTCCAGCCCTGGAAGAACTCAGATCAGCTGCAGCTGGCCCGGGCCGTCCTCTTCCCTCTGCCCACGGAGCGCCCCTCTCCTGACACAGGCTTCAGACAGGACTGCCGAGGACTCAGCGTGGACTCGGGTGGGCAGGGTTCGGAGCTGGACCCCAGGACTGCAGCTTGGAGCCTGTCACCCCCTCACTCCTCCTGGCACTGGGAAGCAAGACGGAGACCCCCAGCTCCTCCTTTGCCCACCTTCTTGTGGACAATTTGTGCTCTGCCCAGCCCTCCCCAGGGCTCACAGAGTAAAAACCATTTGGCCTTTTTCGTCCCAATTTCTGAGTCCCCTTCAGCCCCTCAGAGGGCCCCAGAGCCCATTATGGCTCTTCCTGCTCCTCACCTTCCAGCCGTGGGGGATGAGGTTGAGAGGCTATTCCCATCCTCTCATTACTAAGGCCTAACCGGCTGACTGTGGGGAACAGCAGGTGTGGGGAGGGCGGCGGGATGTGAGGTGAGGCTGAGCACAGTGCTTGGGCCTGGGACCTGCCCCTCAGCTGCACTTGGCCTAACTGAACCCCCCAGGGTGGGAGGGGCCTCACTCGTGCCCTGGCACCTGGCTGCCCTCATTCCTTCCCTGCATCCCACCTCTCCTCTCTCCCCCAAGGTCTTCCTGTTTGTTGTGTAAAGTGTACACGAGTGACCATACTGGTTCCCGCCCCTGCCCTCCACCTCTGTCTGGCCCTGCCTGTTGGTCTTGAACCTTGTTCCCTGATGACTACACCTGATCACTCTGCACTTCCTAACTGTTGTGCCTGGAGCCTAGATGGGAGGACACCCCAATCCCCCAACAACAGCTGGTTACACCATGTTCTCTAGGAGCAGGGGAGGAACGGGAAGGCTGGCCTCTGGGGAGAAGGGGTGGGAAGCTCAGGCACCTCCCCAGTTTGTCCTGAGGGCAGAGATCAGTGGCGTCAGTAGCAATGGTGATGATGCTAGTGCTTTAACCCTAACAGTGCACTTGGGTGGTAGCTGTTAGCCCCATTTTGTAGAAGGAGAAACTGAGGCTCAAGTCAAGGGATACACCTGAAGCCCTCCTGCTGGTAGTGGTAGACCTGCCCTCAGACTCTGGCTTTGAGCACCAGTCCATTGTATCCGCAGGATCCTGCTGCTGCAGGACCCCTTCCCCGCCGACACCTGGCTCTGACCACGTGGTTCATATTGAACTGGTTTGGATTCTTACCCTTAACCCCCCCCCCCACTAACAAGTCTCTTCTAAAAGGAAAATAGGAAGCAGCTGTTGCTTCTTGGAAGGTGAGAATGGCGGAAGGGGCTGCCACATCCCCAGGAGCACCTGCGCTGAGGCCAGCAGGTAGGACCAGCACTGCTGAGGGGTCCCAGACTCCAGCTTCCAGAGAAGAGCCTCTGGGGTCCCTTCAACCTGGGCTCAGTCCCTCTTTCCCTCCCCGAGGTGGGGACACCAAGGCCATAGAGAGTGGGGCAAACTGGGAAGCTGCTTCTCTGGCCTATGAGGCTTAGAACAGGCCCTTGGAGGATGATCCTTTTTGGTCTGGCCCCCACCTCCGCATCTCCAGTGCTGATACCACCCGCTGTTGAAGGGGCCATGGGCAGAGATTCCAGTCCTGGACTTTGTTCTGAACACAGGAGACAACTGGGGTCAGGCATTGGAACCCAGGGCTGTCTAGGGTTTGATGGCCAGTCTGACTCCCTCATCCTATCACTAACCCACAGCACTTCAGTGCCTGGCTTACTTCCATCCCCAGAGTTTCACTGTCCTTAGAGTAGGATGAGGCAAGACCTATCCCCTTCCTGGGGTGTTGGCCCAGGGGCCGAATCCCAGGCCAAGGACCAGCCCAGAGGGCGGGCAGCTCTGTGACTGTGTTGCTCTTTGACCTGTGGCTGCATGATGAGCACCCTCTCCCGCCCCCCACAAGGCCAGACATATTACACACTCACTAGCTCCCCACCTACCCACCCCAGCAGGCAGCTTCTCCCTGGCCCAGCCTGGAAAAGAAAGAAGGCAGGATCTGGCTTCCCCACCACACACAGGCTTCTTTGAACTTGAATATTGCCTCCCACTTTCCCACATCCCTTCCCTCGATGAGGTGAGGGTACTGTCTGAGCTTGAGTGAACCTGATTTCAATCCCCTTATTAGAAACCTGATGAAAATAGGGTTTCCTGCCCTCACATGGACATGAGAGTCACTTGGATGCTTGTTAAACATGCTGATGTCGGGGTTCCCCTCAGACTTCCTGGGTGGGAGATCCAGGAGTCCATGTGGGTCTTAAGATGAGGCCAGGTGGAACCCACTTCACCAGGAAAAATTTGGGTCTTGTGTTCAGAGGGGCCAAGGCCTAATGAAGCCACATCTGGTCCTCAGAGGCACGAATTGTCAGAACCTCAGAGAGGATCTCTCTCCCTGTTGGAGACATGCATCACCCAGAACCACAAAGGCCGATGGGCAAACCTCAAGGTCAGTTTGTCAGTTTGTTCCAGTTCAGTGATAAGTCTCAGGTGCTGGGGCTCTGTAGTCTCAGAAGTGGCTGCATTGGGACCTCTCTGTATTTGTTTTAAGAGAGAGCTCCTAGGAGTCTGGCTCCTCCCTTTATTTCCAAGTTCCTGGGCGGTATTAATGTGCAGCATCTTTTTGCAAGTTAGAAAGTGGTGCTTTTCACACCTTTGACTCCCATCTGTCCGAAAGTTATTTTAATAAAAGTTTTGTTAGAGTAAGACACCTGACTGCCAGAATTCCTGCCAGAAAATGATAACAAATATACAAGCTCATGAGTTTTGCAATTTGCATTGAAGCCCCTTAAATATGGAGAATTTGTGCAGTGCACAACCTGTCCACATGTTCACAGCTGCCTTAAATCACTTTAGGTCACAAGTACGAACAAAATTCATCTCATTTTTTGATCTTGAAAGAAAAGCACATGTTTTCGTGACAGATGCATGGTCCACACCTAACTGGTTTATGGAAGGACTCTGTACTAATCCTAGCAGCAGAGCCAGCTGAATCCCTCTTGAACATCCCCTGATGCCCTAGTTTGAGCTATAAGGAGTTTCACTGAAATAATAATAGTAGTCACTTTTTTGAGTGTGTGTTACTATGTGGCAAGCACAGCTCTACGTGGTTTTACATAGTTAATTCACTTAATATTTAATGATCTTCACAAGGCCGTGGATTCAAAGTAAAATACAGGAAAGTCCACATAGGTGTACAGCTCAATTAATTTTTACAATCTGAACACCGAAGTCACCAGCACACACATGATACATTGTTACCATCACCCAGAACCCCCCACTCCCTACACACACGCTCTACAAAAAGAATGGGGATTTTTGTCTGTTTTGTTCACTGCAGTATCCCCAGCACTCAGAGTTGCCACTTAATAACTGTCTGTTGAATGAACAGAGCACAGAAAGGTTAAATAACTTACCCAAGGTCACACATTTAGGAAGTGGCCCAACCAGGTTGTGAGTCCCAGTGGAATGGCTTCAGTGTCCTGGGGCATAACCCCAATGCTGTAGAACCCTGCAGCCACAGCCAGTTGGCTCAGACCATCTTTCCTCCACGTGGCTCTCTTCTAGAAGGCACGCTAATCTATTTATGTCTTCAGAGTTCCATGTTGGACATGCAGTTGGGAGTGAGTTAACCTTCAAGTCTTTCTCCCTTTTCACTTTACAGTTGTGGATAGTTTAAAAGCAGCTGACCCTGACACTGCCCTCTAGGGCTGGCTTCTCTTCACAATTTCTTTAAGAGGAATCCAGTTTTCTTCATTCTTTCTTTAAAAGTGTACCGTCCACTTATTAAGGTTGTACTGGCCAACAGAACTTAAACTCCCACCAAGATGATTGTGATTCTCTACAGGGAGGTGTTGCACATTGACGGAGAAGTGGGCTGACCCCATCACCAGCTCCAGGGTGGCGACATCTATCCTCATCACTTCTCTAAAATAGAAAAGGTTCTCAATCTGAAAAAAACAAGACACTCAAAAAGCCGGATGTTATTTTGTTAGGAATTATACTCACCAAAGTGGTCTTGCTATTTTATTCTTCATCTCATCAAGAAGCCATCTGCTAAGTCACCTGTTTCAATGAGTGGTCCTGGCTTCCATCCCCAGCACCTCCATAAAAAGAAAGAAACCTAATTACCGACCCTGCCGAAAAAAAAAAATCAGCAAAGTATGAAATGGTCAAAGAGAACCTCTTTTCCACACATTGGTGGACTTCTCATAGATAACACTAAGCTTAATGGTAATGTCGCCACCACCAATTTGTGTTACAACCATCAATTTAGGAACCACTTTTACGCTCACTTGATGGAACTTTATTAAAGCAGATTAAGTCTTTCACGGTATATTGAGAGGCCAAAAAAGGATCCATTGTGATAAATCTGCTAGCAGACTCCATGCTGGTGGGCGGCTTCCCACCCCACCCACAGCGTCCCAGTGTTCAACAGCAGAGAAGAGTTTTTCCTAAGGGCTTGGACTAGAGTTTGGAAATGGGCATACCTCCTCTGAACAATGAATTTCTACCTGTTCTGAATCAAAACAAAAATAGCCAGGATGTCTGCCATTTGTAGTCAATATACATATACATAATTCACAATTTTAAGATTTTAATGTGTCCTCAAACAGGAATAGCCTTGGAGTTTGTCAGGTTGCAGCCCTATTTCCAACCTAGAATCTTTTTTGCAAATATACATTTGGGGATGCAGAATTTAGTCTTTTCGGCCAATTACAAATAATAAGCATTGCATATTAAAAATACCACCGATCCTTGTTTTCAGCTAAGTGAAAGTATAAATTGATATGTATTCTGTGACCTTCCCTTCCATGGCCCAGGACCTCAGATTTGGGTTATCTAAAATTCACAGGGACTAATCGAGTAAAACAAAAGGCAGTTTTGATATATTTCAGTGGACAAAGAACGTGGACAATTTAGAGATGAAGGACTGCAATTACTTGGTACATTTTGGTAGTAATTAAAGAAGATTACAACAATTAGATACAATTTTCTACCCATTGAAATATCAATGAATAGTATCTTCATGTAGAGAAGAGTTGAAACAAACATTTGTTTTGGGTGACAGCATCAATTAACAGAAAAATTCCGTTTGGAGAATGATTTCATCATAGTCATCCACATGTTCACTCTCTTGAAAAATCGTGGGAGCATTTTAAATGTTCAGAGCTTGGGGAATGATTAAACAAGTCGCAGCACATCCACTCAGTGTAGCCAAAAAATGCTTTATGCCAAGTAATTTATGGCCAAGAGAAGAAAACATGGTTTTGAGAGTTAAAAGTGGAAAAAGAAAGAAAAAGTGCTTTGAAATTGCATGTGTACTGTGATCTCAACTTTTAAAAAATGCTTCTGGATGAGAAAGAAATCAAATAATTATTAACTTCAGAACAAAAATCTTGTCTTTGAAATGGAAAGTGCATTTAGAAGCTATTCACAACTTACGAGTTTTTAAAAATCCAAACTTGCCATCAGCATTCATATTATTTTAAAAAATCATATTATAAACTCCCCAGTATAGTGTCTTTCTAAGCCTGTTGCCAAAGACCTGTCTGTGGGGTCAGTGTGAACACGAGACTCCATTACTTGGGCATGGCCCATTCAAGACTGTCTCTGTGCCAAAATAGAAAGGTGAGAATGATTATAAATCTTTGGGATTCCTCCAGCTCCAGGATTCTATAGGTCATAAAAGATGAGGGGAGGGGAGGTTTCTTTGTTCCAAACTCCATAACTGGCCCTTTCTGAAGCCAGAAGAACAAAGACAGGTGAGGAAGGCTGTTCTTGCTGTCTGGGGCTTCTCTGGGTGGCACCATCTTCCTGAATCCACTTCAGTCCAGGGTCTTGCCCCAGGAAGAGACTTTATGCTTTGAGGAGGAAGGGTAGATGTATACTAACCAAATGAAAGGACCAATTTATAAAGTAACAATGAGCAATATAATAGCAAGAGCACCAAGCACTCCCACCCCGACCCTGGACTTCCTACGCTGTGGCCACCTCCGTGGAAAGCAGTGGGTCTTTAGAAGTGCGCTTGGTTGGAGAGGAGTTGGAACAAGACTCCATCTCAGGTGGCTCACAGAAAAACCTGAAGCATCACTTCCACGACAGAAGAGCACTTGCCCCCCGCCCCCAGGTGAGAGGGATGATCCCTTGGGAACTGCTCCTGGACTTGGAAAACCAGGCCAGCACTTTCCCCAGACACTCCTCATTCTTCCCTTCCCTGGCTGGCCAGGCTCTCCTTCAGCTGGACTTTTTTCCACTGTGGACGGTTCAGCCCTGGGCGCTCATCTCTGTGGACTGTGAAGTTTCTTTCCAGCTTGGGACAGGGGATGGAGCGGGCCATCTCACAGCTCCTTCTTCTCCTGGCCCCTCCCGGGTCCTCCTGCGCACTGGGTTAAGTAGATAGGGGCCTGGGAGGGTCCTTTCCCGCCGTAGGATCGTCCAGAGGTCGGATCTTAAGGAGGGTGGGAAGGACTCGTCCAGGATTGCCAAGCAGTGCCCTCCCCGCGGCCCTGGGCCCGGAGCCCAGCAGGGGCGTGCCCCCGCGCTCACCTGCCATTGGGCAGGTGGGGCCGCCGGCGCTCCGCCAGGGGCCGTGTTATAAATGCCGAGCGGGAGGCGGCGGCGGAACAAGGCTCGTCGCAGGATGGTGGACAGCGTGTACCGGACCCGCTCCCTGGGGGTGGCGGCTGAAGGGCTCCCGGACCAGTACGCGGACGGAGAGGCAGCACGCGTGTGGCAGCTCTACATCGGGGACACTCGCAGCCGCACTGCCGAGTACAAGGCCTGGCTGCTCGGGCTGCTGCGCCAGCACGGCTGTCAGCGGGTGCTCGACGTGGCCTGCGGCACCGGGTGAGTCGGGGCAGGGCACAGCGGGACCCGGGGTAGCAGGCGGCCGGGGCAGGCCGGGGGTTAGCGAGGGCCGGGGGAACCGGGGGCTGGCGGTGGATGGGGGGAGACAAGACCGGCTCGGCCCAGGCTGCCGGATCGCGGGACCACGCAGGCACGTCGGGGCAGCCTCCTCTGCCGACCCGGAGCCGGGCCGGGGCGCGACGCCAGGGCGTGAAAAAAGTGCCCAGGCAGAACGGGCAGGGCGAGGCTGACGGCAGGAAGAGCGCGAGGAGACCCAGGGAGGGAGCAAGGGTGTGGGCACAGCGGATTCGCCTGGGGGGCGGCGCAAGGACCAGGCTTTGAGGTCAGATCTTCGCTCCTCTCATTCCTCGCGTGATGGCCTTGGGCAGCATTAACAGTTAGTACTTGTTCAACTTTTGCCCCGCCAAAGCCCTGTGCCAGGTGCTCCTGATAACATCAGTTTTTAAAATCCTCACAAAACCCAACTGAGGTAAGTAGTGATACCCGTTTACAGTTGTAAAACTTTGGCCTCGGAGAGGTAAAGGTGGAGAGGAAGTGCAGACCGAGGCTGGTTAGGGTCTGACCTGTGCTCTAAACCACCGTGCTACATGCCCTTCTGTGCTCAAGTGAATTTCCAGGAGCCTCAGTTTGTCCCCTTCCTCAAATGGGGATAACACCATCTACCTCCATGTATTGCCATGAGGATTAATGCACATTTCTAGTATGCTTGGCTTGGAATAGATGCTAAAATATAAAAGTTGCCACTAAGTGATAGATTTGCCAGGTCATTTGAGGTCAGTGGAGAGAGCCTGGGAACAGGAAGCAGAGAAATGGACTCTGAAGAGCTGAGGAGACGGAAGTGTCCAGCACAGGGCCTCCTCCTTGCCTTCCCAGGCCCCTCTGACTGCCTCTCTCTGCCTCTCCCTGCCTCTCCTTCCTGGTGCTGCCCAGGGTGGACTCCATCATGCTGGTGGAAGAGGGCTTCAATGTGACAAGCGTGGATGCCAGTGACAAGATGCTGAAGTATGCACTTAAAGAGCGCTGGAACCGGCGGCACGAGCCCTCCTTCGACAAGTGGGGTAAATGTGTCCAGTCAGGCCCCCTCAGCCCAGCCCCCAAGGACACAGTTCTCTCTGCCCTGGGATCCCTTAGCTCCTGTGGTGGGGTGTTTTGTTCTTCTCAAGGAGGACAGTAAAATTACTGTCATTTCCCTGAAATGGGAGGCTTAGGCACCAGAATGAGGTATCAAGTATGAGGGGCTAGTTTTAATTACGTGTAGTGTCTTGTCCCCCTCTCCCTGAGTAAAAACCCATAAGCACAGAGCCCTCCTTCCCATGGTAACCATGGCTTCCTCCTCCTTGGACCCCTGTTCCTCTTCACCCGTCTTGTTCATAATGATCCACTCCCCCAGACTGGATGTGTGTGTCTTGAAGGGGAAATTGAGGCAGGACCGCACTTGGTGGTGGAGGGTACTGCTGGTACCTGATCCCTCGTCATCTTCCCGGCCCCTAGTCATTGAAGAAGCCAACTGGTTGACTCTGGAAAAAGATGTGCCTCAGCCACCAGAGGGTGGCTTTGATGCTGTCATTTGCCTTGGAAACAGTTTTGCCCACTTGCCAGACTGCAAAGGTGAGAGAGGGTGTGGCCCTGGGCACAGACCCTGCTTTAAACTATATCCTTTCCAGACCCCTGGGGATGAGAAAGATGGGAGGGAGACTGGTGCTGGGGGCTCTGGGCAGACGTAGCCTCTCTGCCCCTGCCTGGAGTTCAGGGGACCAGAGCGAGCACCGGCTGGCACTGAAGAACATCGCAAGCATGGTGCGATCAGGGGGCGTGCTGGTCATCGATCACCGCAACTATGACCACATCCTCAGCACAGGCTGCGCGCCTCCAGGAAAGAACATCTACTATAAGGTGGGGCCCCTGAGGGAGGGAGGGACCAGAGTGGGAGGTGTGATCCTGGCCCCACGGTAGATGCAGAAGCTAATGCAGCCTGCTACCACCACCTGCAGAGTGACCTGACCAAGGACATCAGGACATCAGTGCTGACAGTGAACAACAAGGCCCACATGGTGACCCTGGACTACACGGTGCAGGTGCCAGGGACTGGCCAGGACAGTTCTCCTGGCTTGAGGTACCCACTGAATGAAGCAGGGGTTGGGGGGAAGGGTGCTGAGCCCACCAGTCCTCATGGTTGGTCGGGGGCTCTGTTGCAGTAAGTTCCGGCTCTCCTACTACCCTCACTGTCTGGCATCCTTCACGGAGTTGCTTCAAACAGCCTTCGGGGGCAAGTGTCAGCACAGCATCCTGGGCGACTTCAAGCCTTACAAGCCAGGCCAGGCCTACATTCCCTGCTATTTCATCCACGTGCTCAAGAGGACAGACTGAGCAAGGCCTCAGCTCCCCAGACCACTGCCCAGGAGCTGCCAGGCTCTGTCTGGGGAGGAGGGGACCAGTAGCCCTACACTAAACCCAGCCCCCAGTGCAAATCCTGGGGTGGGTGAGGGGAAGGGCAGTCTGCAGCTGGGGAGCAGGGATTTGGGTTCATACAGATGGAAGGGGGAACAATATAGTCTGTGCCTTTTTCAGACTGTATGTGTTGTGTTTATGTCGTAAGGATCAGGCTTCTGTGGTACCCACCTGCCCACCCCTGGGTTTACTCCTCCACAGCCTTGCTCTTCCCTACTCCAACCTTTCAGATCACACCACCAGCAGGGGGCAGCATACACTTTATTTTCAGCCACAGAAGGTGCTCTCTCAGGGCCCCATCCCCAGAGCTCCAGGCCCCACCTCTTCTCCTGAGCAGAGAGCCTTAGTCTTGGAACTGGCCTGGAGGGCAGGAGGGGATGCCTCCTGAGCTCTCCTGGGGCTCCTGATGCCACTCGGCACCCAGGGGATCTCCCGGAGGCAGGCAGCCGTCAGGTGGGTTGACGGCAGCAGCCTGAGAAACAGCCTTTGCTCTCTCAGGTCTCTGGAGATACCCAGGTACCTTTTGCCACCGTGGGCAGGGTCCCAGGCCGAGGAGGCTCCTAGCAGGCAGCAAACTTGCGCTGGATGCGCTTGTAGCGGAGCAGCTCCTGCTCGCTGACTGAGGGCTGCAGCCGGGCCGCAGCCTGCAGCAGGTCCTCCATGGTGAGCAGCAGTGCGGAGCTCCCGGGCTCCAGGCCTGGGGGTGACGAGAGTAGGTGAAACCTAGCTGGGGCACAGAGGCTGTGGTCTGCGCCCGAGCAGGGGAGTGCCTGGGTAGGCACCTTCTTGCCCAGAGCCCCTAATGGTCCACAGTCCCTCCACTGAAATCCAGAACTGGGCCTGGTGCCCACTAGGTTTTTGGCTAACCTATGGGGCTGGCAAGTGGCTCACCTTCCTCCAGGTCCCGAACCCTGCGTTTGAGGGCAGCTGTCATGGCATCGGAGCACAGGGAGTAGAGGTCTGCGCCTGTCAGCTGGGGAGGGCAGTGGTCCAGCACGTCCACCAGGCTCACAGAGGGCTCTAGCCTGAATCTGTTGTGGGGAAACAGGAAAGACAGAGTTTTACCTGGCTTCCCTTCCCCTGTCAACCAGCATCCCTGACCAGCTTATTCCACACTCATCCCCTAACCATCCTGAGGCTCCAGCCCTTCAGGAATCCCCCCCAACAGGGCATACTTGCGCGTGATAGCACTCAGAACACGGAGCTGAGAGGCGCGGTCCTCGCTCACCCCCACGAACACCAGCTTGTCAAATCTTTAGGGAGATATGTGGGCATAAGTGGCAGCGAGCCCAGCATGAGGGTGGAGAGGCACAGGATGGGGGTCAAGGGACAGGCCCAAATGGTCCTGGTGGAGATGAGAGGTAAGGGGTGTGCACCTGCCGGGCCGCAGAAGGGCAGGGTCCAGGAGGTCTGGTCTGTTGGTGGCTCCGATCACAAACACATCCTGAGTGCTGTGAAGCCCATCCAGCTCAGCCAGGAGCTGAGACACCACCCTGCAAAGGAGGACGTGCTTGACGCATCCTCAGCCTCCCTCCTGCCTGTGTTTCCCTCCTTGCAGGCCTTCTCCACAGGGCCCCCTGCTCAGTCATACCCCGTGTACCCTTCTGTGCAGGCCCCCATTCTCCTCAGCATTCCACACCCAACTCCACGGCCCCTTTTAGTTTCCATTATACTGTCTCAGAACTGCAAGGGCAGAAACTCTTTGGGCTCCAAAGACTAGTGCAACCTGTCTCACATCCCTCTGTCCTGCGCCCCAGACTCCATCCTGGCTCAGACCCCTACCTGTCCATCACACCTCCAGAGTCTCCACTTCGCCCCCGGCTTGGGGCCAAGGAGTCCAGTTCATCAAAGAAGATAATGCATGGAGCCGCGGCCCTGGCCCTGGCAAACACTGGGAGAGAGGAGCCCCAAGATGGGGAGGCTCAGTGGGATGTGAAGTCAGGAGATGGGGAGGGAAACCCAGGTTTGACAATTCATCACTAGCACTTCAGGTACTAGGCCCTGCTGGGCAGGATCCTGACTTGTGGAGAGGAAGACTAGCAGTGACCACGAGCAGCCTGAGGATGGGGAAGGCACAGGGGCCACTGGGGTTGGGGAAGGGCTGAAAGCCCTGCCCCTCACAGCTCACTCACCTTCCCGTACATTCTCCTCACTTTGGCCCACATACATGTTGATGAGCTCGGGCCCCTTCACGCTAAGGGAGAGGATGGGAGAGGGTGAGACTCGGCAGATGCAGAAACACACAACTGACCTCCAGGCCAACCCCTCCTGCTCCCTGGCCTGCTGCAGCCCCCAGTCCACCCGCCCTCCCTTTGGGGCCCCCTTGCTACCTGAGGAAGGTAAGGCTGCACTCGGTGGCTACTGCCTTGGCCAGCAGGGTCTTGCCGGTGCCAGGGGGCCCGTGGAGCAGAAGGCCTGAGCGCCTCAGGCCCAGGCTCAGCAGCTCAGGGTGCTCCAGAGGGAGCTGAATGGTCTCCAGAATCTCCTTCTTCACCTCCTGCAGCCCACCCACATCATGCCAGGACACCGAGGGGATCTAGCAGATGGAAAGGGCACGGTTGGGGACACGCTGGTGGAGGGACCTGTGGCCCCGCCTCCAAGGACCTGGAGTGTCTACCTTGGGGGCTCCGACGGCCTGGGAGTGAGCTGACTGCAGCTGCTCCAGCGCCTGCCCGAAGTCCTCAGCCAGGAGAGGACAGCCAGCAGCACACAGCTCCCCCTCATCCTCCTCACTCAAGCCACCTCCAGAACTGCCAAGAAAAACCCAGGGAGGCCTCTGGAGGGCCTGATGTAAGGCCTCCTCCCCATCAGGGTCCTCGCCCTCCTCCCTTCCTCACCAGCCCTGTCACCTGCACCACCTCTGGCTGCCTCACCCCTCCTGTGCCCCATTTCCTTACCCTGAGTTCTTGATCCTGGTGCAGGCTGCCCGGCTGCTGTGGGTCAAAAGGGCATAGAGATCCCCCACCACAAAGCCCTGGAACCACGGGAGAGAACACATGAGCAGGGCATAGCCGGCAGGAACCCAGCTGGAACAGGGGCCCAATGCCAATACCTCGGGGTTTTCTACCCTGACTTGCAGGGCAGCAGGAGGAGTTCCCCCAACAAGGAGTGCAGGGAGGCCTGCATCCCGCCTCGGTACTCACTGCACACCGCCGGGCCAGCTGGGCCAGGTTCACCTCTTGGCCCAGGGGGAGGTGGGCAGTGAGGGCCTGCAGGATGCTGAGCCGCTGCCCCTCTGACAGCACGGGCACCTCCAGCTCGTGAGGAAACGCTGTGTGCACGTCCGCAGGGAGGTCCTGGGCCCGGCTGGTGGTGGCCACAACCATCAGGGGAGGGCAGCTGCAGACAGGGAGTGGGCACTGAGGGCGAGAAGGGGGCCTGCCGGCACAGAAGGGCAGGGAGAATGGTGGTGCTGGGATGGGACAGGGAGATGAGTGCCCCAGAGCATCCTGGGTGGGGCTCCCCCTCACACAGGGAGCTCAGTGAAGGTAGAGGCTGTTCTTTTACTCTGACCTAGTGTCCCCCAAGAAATACCAGGGGCTGCATCCTCCTCCCTCTGGGAACCCTCATCTCAGGGCTGTCTGGAGAGCAGCCAGATGGGCGACATGTCTGAGAAGCCACCAAGGAGTGGGGAAGAGAGGGCGAAGGCTGAAGAGAGGTAGGAGGGTGCGCCACACCCCTTAACAGGCCCAGTGATGTCCGATACCTGGTGAGGGGGTCTTCATCCAAGAGGAGGCGGCGCAGCGTGGCCACCACACGGGCATCCTCACCTAGCCCATCCCGATCCCGGCCCAGCAGGTCCACAGCTGTCAGCAACAGAACCACAGGCCGGCAGCGCCGGGCCCAGGAGAAGGTGGCCTGCAGTTTTGTCTCCACAGCCCCACTACTATCTGCACAGAGGCTGGAGCAGGGCACCTGGGGAGGGGGTCCCGATGGGCCTGTGAGCAAGGGGCAAGGGTGACTGGGGCAGGAGAATGGGGGAGGGGTCAGAAGAAGGTCCAGGCCATCTCTTTTTGGGAGGGCCGGAATGCGGGAAGAAGGTAACACTAGCCAAATCCTAACTCTTTTTTGCCCTAATCTCATTCCCTGGACTGTTTGCCGACACCTTGAAACCCCCTCCTTCTTGAGAGCATCTGTCAGTACAGCTCAGCATCATGGGACCATGCCTGACCCACTGGCCCACTAGGCTAAGGTGGTGGGGCCCAGCTAGTATCCCAGGGAGGAGGGGCTGGGAGGGGCGGGCAGAGGGAGAGGGAGAGGCCGGCTGGGGAGGAGACACAGTTGGGGTCTGCTCTCTGGGGACCCTCACCTTCAGTAAGTGGAGCCCAAGGCGGCTGCAGGCAGCAGTGACTGCAGTGGTCTTCCCGCTGCCCGGGGGACCCCGGAGAAGGACACTGCTAGTTCCTGTCAGCAGGGCACCCCTGCAACCAGAGAACAGACATCTGTTTCCTCCAGTTCCTGAGACTCCCCAGGAACACAGGGAACCTCGGATGTAGAAAGCAGACACCTTCCTTGAGGCACCCCTCCCCCCAGGGCTGTCACCACACGGTGAGGCCACATTTCCCACACCACCTGTGGTACTCGGGCAGGGGCAGAGAGCGTATCCAGCAGCTGAGACTCCCTTTTGTCATCAGTAAAGCCTCTTTCTATTTGGTTCTCTCTGGTCTGGATTATATTGAGAGGAATTAGGGAGGGGTCTGTAGCTATACTTAGACCAGTGGTATGAGGACCTGTGTCTCTTGGGGCCAGGGTGGTGAAGGTCAGGATGGCTAGTGGGCTCCCCAAGGGGAAGGGCACGCTCCGAGACGGATGTCTCTGGGGAGATCCTTCCTCCTTAGCTAACTTTGGAGGATGGAGGTTGTCCCAGGAAAGGGGCCTGGGAATTTGCTTCCAGACAGGATATGGGCTAGTGGCCTGGGCCTAATGGTCTGAGAGAGGTCCATGCAATCCCACTCTGGCCAGGGCATTAGGAGTACTTGTCTGGCCTGCTGCCCCTCCAGGGATGTTCTGAGCAGGCTTTTCTCACACCCTGAGCCTGTGGTCACTCACCCTGGCTGGAGGCGAGGCTTCAGGACAGCACAGAGCTCGGTCACCAAGTCCTCCAGGCCTGGAGGAGACAAGCTGCTCCAGGGAGTGGACTCCCCTGAAGGGCGTCTTGGAACGAGGCTCAGGGTAGAACCCACCTGTGAAAGGTGGGAAGAAGCTTTAGTCTCTGGAAGTCCTTTCTGATCCTTTTCCAGGTCTACTCCCACCACTGGGGCCTCACCAAGTACAAAGAGGTATGGGTGGTGTTAGCCAAGTAGGCGCTGGTTGGCCCGTCCGGAGCTTCCCCAACTGTTTTCTTCACTTTAAAAAACATCTCCCGCCACCTGCAAGCAAGAGGCCCAATGAACCCTGGGTCCAGACCCCACACACACCACTCTCCACGGACAAGGTGGATGTCTCAATCAGAGCTCCACTGCAGGGACAAACTCAAGAGAAGTGCAGATAAATGCCCCCAGACATGGTGGAGGTGGGGAAGAAGGAGGGGGCAGAAGAAAAACAGGCAGTCTTTCTTACCTCCCTGATTGGATCACATGCATTTTGAGAGCGGGAGCTATGTGGGTCCTCTGTATCCCTCATGACAACATCACTTGAGGGTGGGTTTCTCCAAGTAAATGGCCTACCCACCTGCTCCAATGGGAGAAACCACTGCCGCACCAAGCAGTGACCATCTGACCACTTTCACTGGCTTCAGATTACAATCTCTCCCGCAAAAACATACCCACCAAGGCCGCCCAAAACCTCAGAGGAAAGAGGTCCCTTGGCTCTTATTCAATAATTCACAAGACCTCATCGCAAGCAGATAATAATGACATTTAATGATTCATGATTCTCTGTTTTGGCCACACATTAGAATTATCTGTGAAACTTTTAAAAACCAACATCTCTCACATATTGGATGATTCCATTCAGTAGGTTAGTGGTTGCCAGTGGCTGCGGGAAGGAGGGAACAGGGAGTGACTGCCACTGGATGGAGATTTCTTTTGGGGGTGATGAATATGTTCTGGAATTAGTGGCACTGACTGCACAACCTTGTGAATATACTAAAAACCACTAAATTGTACACTTTAAAAGCATGAATCTTTGGGTGCATGAATATCTCAATTAAAAAATTAAAATTTCCTTCTTTTGAAAAAAATAATAAGACTGCACAGGCCCCAGCCTCACTCTGATTCTGCTCTAATATATCTGGGGTGGGACACAGGCACGTGTATTTTTCAAAAGCTCCCAGCCATCACCGGGGCTGTGCAGTCACTGGCTTGTGTTAGAGGGAGATAGTGTTACTCAACCTACTAAGGAGGGAGAGGGTGGGTAGCAGATATCAGCTACTAGTCCAGTTTTCCGAATGAAAATATGATGAACTACTCCCTCTTTAATCCTTAGGCAGCAAGGCAATAACAGAGCCTGGGCCTAATTAAGGTCCAGTCAGGGTGTAAATTCCTCCAGGTAGAGGGGAAGCCTACCAGGTTAGTATTAGGAAACTCGTGAAACTATGACGGTAGACAGTGATTGCGGTAAAAATTAGAACATAAGGAGAACTGTCCTGTTGTTATTCACTGTAAATAAATGACAGGTGGATCCCTAACCTAGACTCTCAGTCAGGCTGAACATTGAGTCAGAGTGCCCAGGGCGAGCAGCAGAATCCAAGGAGGACCAGCCCGGGGAGGGGGAGGGGACAGGGAGACACCCCTCTCCCTTTCCTGCAGAGTGGATGGACCACCTCAGTGAGTACACGGGCCAGACCTCTGGAACATTATCTGGACACTGCTGGGGAACACTGGGCTGTGTTCCTGAGAGCCAGATGGGTACCGCAGCCTTGCGACTGGGGAGATTGAGCACTGGCCAGAACCAAGCCCTGAATGTTGACCAAGGACAAATCAGGAGCTCCAGACAAGGCTTCTCTCTTGGCAGAGGACCCAGGCTGGCTCGGCCAGAGTCCTTGGGCACAACAGGACTCTTATGCCCAAGTTCCTGCAGGCTGGCCCCACCACCTCACTGAGAGTTCCCTGAAAGTCAGGATAGTGTTGCCTACCAGCTGCCTTCTCCTAGTAAATCACCACGGGATATCAGTCCTGGGGTTTGGGGGTACACATTCTCTCCCTTCACAAAAGGCCAAGGTAGCATCTGAATTCTTTGCCTCACCATTTTATACCGAACCTCTGTGGTCAGAGTCAACAGGAGGAGAAAGGTTGGACTCCTTGTTTTGGGTCCTTGTCTCAGTTATGCTCTATTTCTTGTTCTTGGTTGAAGATAAGGAAAGAGAGAAGGGCTCTCAAGGACAGCAGCAATCCCTCCCTCCCCTGCCTTGGGAGAAAGGGTTGAAAAGGAGCATGTGCACACTTCCTCCATTAGGGCAGAAATCAGGGCCTGGGTCTCCTCGTGCTGAGTGTATGGGAGGTGTGGCCCAAATCCTGACCCAAACAGCACTGGCTGAGAATGGAAAGCAAGGAATCCCTCCTTGGTCTAGGCCATTCAACTATTCTTAATGCTTTACTTTACCTAGGACCACCGATCAATTTAGGGATAAACACCTCCCAAAGTCAGCACGCAGGGGTTCTTAATCTTCTTTCAGTCACATGTCTATCTGAGAACCTGAAGAATGTACCGTCTCTCTAGGAAAATGTACATGACAACCACAACATATTCCTATGCACAAAATTATTCCATTCAACTTGAGGGGAGTGGGTCGTAGGACTCCCGCACCCAGGTCAAGAATCCCAGCTGTAGGACAGGAGGCAGCTGCGTACCTGGGCAGTTTCTCTGGGCTTCCTTCCAGGATCTCCACTTGCCCAACTGTTGGCACACACAGAACATCCCCTTCCTGGACTGCCCTGTAACACAGCAGTGGCCCTGGTCAGCTCACAATGGGAGTCAAGAGCATAGGCCTGACACATCACCGCATGCCCACCTCCAAGATGCAGACTATTTCTTAGGAGCCTCCTGCCCACCCAGAGATCTCAAGCAGTTGTCCAGAGAACAAGTCTGACCTAGAATGAGCTGGGGGAGATGGCAGAGAGGCTAGAAAGGGGACCCGAGACCAGAGAGGGGCCAAGTAGGATCCCAGCTCTCTGGGGGCCTTTTCAAATCAGAGTGGTTTCTCAGTTTCAAATGTCCGGATTCACCTCATGGTCCAGACTTCTCTTCTGTTGTCTGCCTGGCACACCAAGAGGCTTCTAGCCACAATGTTGCCTTAAAATGTGGCTTTTTAAAATCAGAGGCTCTGTGGTACCTGAATCCAAGGCATGGGATAAGACAGGAGCAACAAGATGCTATCCTCCTGAAAGGGGTAAGCAGCTAACCTGGGTGTCTGAAAATGCCGGTAAAGAACGTGGTCGTAATTTCCGTGAGTGCTGTAGTGAGGAGAGGACACAATTTCGATGTGTAACTCCTTGGCAAACGGAGGCCCAGGCAGCACGGAGCAGCTTCCTTTGTCTTCAGAGGTGCTGGAGCACTCCAAGTACCTCTATTAGAGAAATCCACTACTTACAACCTTCTCCCAAGGAGTCAGGCTCTGCCCAATCTCTCAGCAATCAATGTTTCTGCTTTCATCCTTTATCCTTCCCATAACCACAAGGCTTGATACCCAAGGCAGCAGAGCTGAATACCTGTTTAGAAAACAGAAACCTATCCTTCTAATGAGCACCAGGAAGAGATTTTTGACCGTGACTTTTCTGACTCTAGCTCCAAAAAGTTCACCAGTAAAGATAACTGTTCTGTGAAACCTTCATGTTAGCCCAGAGCCAGTGAAATGGTAAAGACATGTAATTCTCACAAATCCTTTAAGTGACACCAGGCAGCCACTGGGTGAGGAGAACGTGGTAACCATTACCAGGCAGCCGTTGGGAATATTAACTGGACATTAGTGGGGACCCTTTGAATTCAGGCTGTAGTTAAAGGGTGTGATCTCACTGAAGCTGAAAAGGTTGGGTCAGCTGAATGAGTTCCAGCCTGAGTTCTCCAGCATTTTTCCTCCAGTCAGAAGGAAACATACATGGCTCCCATTCACGCATATTTTATATCTCTTCTTGACATCCACAGCACTAACTGGCTGTGCCAGCATTACTTAATAGAACTTTCTACACTAATAGAAATGTTCTATATTTACAAGTGGCTATTGAGCACTTGACATGTGACCATGTAACCAAAGAACTGAACTTTTAACTTTATTTAGTTTCAACTGATTTAAAAAGCCACTAAGTGGCTAGTGGCTTCCATATTGGACACTGCAGGCCTAAACCATGTATCTAGGTGCTTAATTAAACATTAGACTATATTTGTTCCTCCAAATCTTTTTTAAAAATACTTTTTACTAAACATTTTTTAAAAATATCTTTTTGAGGAGGAGGTAGGTAATTAGGTTTATTTATTTATTTTACTTTTTTAACGGTGGTACTGGGGATTGAGTCCAGGACCTTGTGCACGCTAAGCATGCGTTCTACCACTGAGCTATACCCTTCCCCCTTCCCCTCAATTATCTTCTTGAAGTAAGTTCCTAAAAGGCAGAAAGCAAAAACCTCTCTTGGATATATTTACTAAAATATTAAAATTAAATACCAAGCAATAAAGATAATAAAGAGCCTTTCCCTTCAAGGAATTTACAATATATAACTGGGGGTTGGATTACACAATTAACAAGGCGGAATAAAACAAATGCTCTCTGAAAGGCACAAAATGTTATAGAAGTAATGTTAATTAAATTTGTGGTGGTGAGATTTTGTAAGGCTTTGAGCAGGGGGTGGCATCCTTAGATTGGTCTTCAAGAAAAGGATGGTAAGATTTTAACAGAGGAGGCTAGAAGAATAGGAAGGAACTTGAAGTCAAGGATAAGCATGAGTGAAAGCACTGAGGTATCATCCTCCATGCTACTCTGCACAATGCTGGATATACTGCAGCGTTTCAACAAACTGATTAGATTTAGCAGATTATACATCTGGTGGTAATTTGACTATGACTCTCACCTTTCACCTAAATAGTGAAAGTCCTTCTCATGTACCACCAAAATATTTTAATTGTAGAGAATGGATAAAGTTAAGAGGTCTTAAGGAGAAAGCCCAACAAGATCTAAGGAGAAAGGGACCTAAATTCTACAGAACTGGTCCTCCCACTCAGTTCAAAGAAGAGGGGATAAGGAGGAGGAAGCATTCCTGACCTCAGTCCTGTATCCTACCTGAATTCTGAGCTCTCCCACTTCCAGGGGATCACAGCCGAGATTAAAAGCCAGAGTGGCAGGCACGAGGGCCAGTCCGTCAGCGAGGGGCTCTCCCAGCTGTCCGGAGCTGGGTCCCAGCCTTTCAGAAAGGTTCCAGCGAGGCTCTAGGACCTGCACTGTGGCCAAGTGTGGCAGGGAAGTGTTCGATGTCTCTCCGGCTCGGGTCACCCACACCCATTCGCCCTGGAAGAGGCCGAGGGTACGGAGGCAGCTCCGGCTCACTCCCAGTGAATCGCCAGTCCCTCCCAGAACTCCCCGGAGTCGTCGGACTGTGCCGCAAGCCGCGAAGGAGGACACTACGGGCGGGGGAGGGGGCCGGCTGCAGTCCTCAGTCTCCGGACCCAGTTTGGCCCGCCCACGGAGCTCTGTCACAGCTAGCCGTGTCCCTGGGCCCAGCAGCCCTTGTAACGCCGGCCGCGTCTCCAGCACCCGCGGTCCGGGAACTGGCAGGGCCTCTCCGCGCCTCACCAGCAACGGTCCGACTCGCTGTCCGAGTCCGGGCCCCGACGAGGTG